GCAGCTGAGTGAAGAAACACCTCTAGCTCCAGTAGGCCGGGAGCAGGAGGTAGAGCTGGACCCCAAGGTTGAGGGGCTTTCACCCAGCCCCTAGAACCTGGTACTTGAACTTGGACTTAAAGCCCCCAATTGTAAGAATAAACTCTTGTTTGTTAAGGCCATCCCATTTGTGGTATATTCTTGTCAGAGCAGTACTAGGTAAGTAGAACATAAGGTATCATAACTTTGCCCTCTGTTAGCTCTATTATATATACATTTATGTTGTTGTTATGTGCCATCTAGTTGCACCCAACTCATAGTGACCCCTCCTTGGGTTTCCAAGGTGGTATCACTGTGGAAGTAGATTGCCCAACCTTCCTTCCGAGGACTGGCTGGTGGGTTTGAACTGCCAGCCTTCTGGTTAGCAGTCAAGTGCCTTAGGCACTATACTACCAGACCTCCCAGAGCTCCCATTATATATATATATGGACATTCTTATAGCACATAGAAATTTATATGTAGAAATATTGTCTGCCAATACTATTATATTATATATGGTCATGAATATATTCCCTTTTGCCTAGACATATCTGATCATTTCACCTGTCTACCTATGTATCTACTCTTTGGGAACTTTGAGAGCAATAAACCTAGATACTTTTCATTGTCTCTCTAATGACTCTTTCGTGTGTCACACCTGGCTTACCATCCTATAGATCTGTTAGAACACTCTCTCCTGTGCTGGATCCTCTGTTTCTTGGACCTTGTGTCCTCTTCTTTCTTGGTTTATGCCTTGGATTTGATGGAGGACATGTTCCAGAAACTTTCTGAGGATAAGTACCTGACACCTAAACAGTTTTTTGAGATCTTGTATACTTGAGGGAATCCCTGGGTGGCACAAATGGTTAAGTAGTCTGCTATTAACCAAAAGATTGACAAGTCTGAAACCACCCAGAGGTACTTTGGAAGAAAGGCCTGGAGCTCTGCTTTGGAAAGGTCATGGCCTTGAAAACCCTATGCAGCATAATTCTCTGACACACATAGGGTCTCTATGAGTCAGAAATCATCTCTACAGCAACTGGTGGTGGTGGTATAGATCTGAAATTCTTTATTTTCCCCTGACACTTGATTGCAAGTTAGGGTGGATATAGAATTCTACCTTTTTCTTTTTCCTCAAAATTTTTAAGGTATTGCTCTATTGTCTTATTCTATCTTATTTTGCTTTTAAGATGCCTAATGCCACCCTTTGTATATCATTTGCTTTTTTCTGTCTGGAAATTTTTAGTATTCTTTCATTAGAGATCTAACATTATACAATGACATGCTTTGATGTGGCACGTCATAGTGCCTGGATGTTGGGTAGTTCCTTTCAGTCTGTAAGCCTATGTCCTCTGTTCTTGGATTATTATTATTGTATTTTATCTTTGAATATAGCCTCTCTATTTTCACTCTTCTCTCTTTTTGAATATCCTGTCTTAGGGATATGATGGATCTCCTGGATTTATCCTCTAAATTTTTTTATATACTTTTTATCTGTTTTCCATTTCTTTGTGTTCTACTTTCTATCAATTTCCTTAACTATATCTTCTATTCTGATTTTTTTTTTAATTTCTGCTATTTTTAGTGTCTAGAGTCTCTTATTTTCTGCTTGTATCACTTAGTAACATTCTGTTCTTAACATCCTGCACTCATTAGTTTTTTCACTTTTAATATTCCTATTGTTTTTAAACAATGTCCTAATTTCTTTCATATCAAGCATGTGATTTGTAGATTCCCAAACAGTAATAATAAATTCTCTTATTAAAGTTGATCTGATGGGCTATCGAAAACTCGGTATGGAACCTGAGTGGTGCAAGCAATTTCTGATCAGCTGCTAACCTAACAGCTGAAGGTTCAAGCCAACCCAACGGCTCCTCAGAAGAAAGGCTAGTGATCTGCTTTCATAAAGATACAGCCAAGAAAATCCTCTGGGACATTTTTACCCTATAACATACAGGGCTGCCATGAGTTGGGGGCTGACTCGATGGCAGCTAGCAACAAGTTATATTATTGGGATTCAATATTTAACATTTACTTTCTTATTTTATAGATTAAAGAAATATTTTGTTAATTTTGTAAAGTAAAATTTTGTTAATGACAATCTGTGTCTGAATATTTTTAAGAGTAGGATGTTTATTTGAGTAATAATTGTAATAGTTTATTTTTTTCATTAGAAATTAGTGTTTTCCCCAGAATTGTCTCTATAGTACCTTATTCTTACAGTCAAAATTATGGTAAGACTAAAATGTATGTAGGAATTTTGGACTACCAGAAAAAGAGTTTTTCATCCTTTGGAAAATAGTGTTACCATAAAAATGAAAGCTGTCTTTTCTAAAAATTTGACATCAAAATTTTTAAGATCCATTAAAAAAAAAAAAAAAGTAGCCATGGTGGCACAATATTATTAAGTGCTCAGCAGCTAACCTAAAGGTGGTTGGTTCAAAACCCACCCAGCAGCTCCCTGGGAGAAAGTCCTGGCTATTTGCTCCTATGAAGATTACAGGCAAGAATACCTTATAGGAGTCATACCTATGTTTATTGTAGCATTATTCACAATAGCAAGATAATGGAAATGACCTAAGTGAAAGAATACAGCAGATGAATGGATAAACAAAATGTGGTATATACATACAATAGAACACTATAGAACCAGGAAGAACAATGATGAGTGTGCAAAACATAATATGGATGAACCTTGTGTTAGACTGGGTTCTCCAGAGAAATAAAACCAGTAAAGCTTATAGAGAAAGAAACAGAAAAAAAAAATTTATCTTAAGAAAGTGGCTCACACGCTAATTGGAGCTGGCAAGTCCAAAGTTCTTGGATCAAACATCAAGCTGGAGGCTTTTCCTGACTCTTGCAGCTGCAGGGACTGAGGAGCTCAAGGTTGGCAGGCAGTGTACTGGCTGTTGACTCCAACAAATGACGAATCCAAGATCTCCACACTAAATGGTGGATTGTTCGCTCATGGACATTTGTAGGCAGCATAACAGAATCCTGATCCACAGAGGAATGTCTCTTTTCCCAGGATGTCCATAGATATACTGGAAGCAGGCCACACCCATAGCAAAACTCACTTTCAACAGATTAGCTGCTCAAAACATAATCATCTGATCCCATCATGGGAACAACTACATCACGATTGCTTAAACCACACAGAATTGTGGTCCAGCCAAGTTGACACGCAGCTCCAACTATCACAGACCTGTAGGATGTAATGCTAAGTAAAATAAGTTAATCACATTAGGACAAATATTGTATAATCCCACTTTTATGAGAAGACAAGAATAGATACATGTAACCAAACCAAACTCACTGCCATCGAGTTGATTCCAACTCATAGCGACCCTCTTTGGGTTGCCAAGGTGGTAAATCTTTATGGAAGTAGATTGCCCAGTCTTTTTTCTGTGGAGTGGCTGGTGGGTTTGAACTGCCAATCTTCTGGTTAGCAGTCAAATGTCTTAGGCACTGTGCCACCGGAGCTTCTTAGATACTTATAAAGAGACCAATATCCATTGGTGGTTATGGGGGTGGGGAGGATTATACTCTAGATCATAGATACTTGTTATTTTTGGTGATGGGAAAAGTAGCACAGTTCAAAGTAAATGATGTTGCTGAGAAATGTTCAAGAGAAAATTATGCTTGTACTGAAGAATTTGAAATATATAATTTAGCAACAACACTAACAATGACCAAAAAATGAGTGTATGGTCTCATATGTATGCATACAAACGTATAGTTATACAAGTAAGTACAGGTGTATACATGTGTGTGCACAGATAGATGTATATATATGTATATATAAGTACAGATGTGTGTGTGCAGGCATACTCATAGAAGACACAATTACAGATACTTCTCAGACATTACCAAATACCTTGCAGGATCGACTTTTTGGGTTTGAAAGCTTAGGACCTTAGTCTCATGGGACAGCTCAGTCAATTGGCATAATATAGTTCACAAAGTTCATGTTCTGCTCCTAGTGAAGTGAATAGCATCTGGGGTCTTAAAAACTTGCAAGTGGCCATCTATTTGTTTCTACTTGTCAGGAGGAAAAGAGTAAGAAGGAAACCAAAGTTTCAGGGGAGAAACAAGTCTACAAGGGCTAATAGCCTACATGAAGTATAGCCTCATCCATCAAGAGATGAGAAGAACTAGATGGTGCCCAGCTATCATTACCAACTGCTCTGACCATGGTCATAGTAGGTGATCCTGGAGAGAATGGGAGAAAAAAATGTAGAACAAAACTCACATTCTTAGAAAAGACCAGACTTACTAGACCAGTTAAGACCACAGAACTCCCTGAGACTATCACCCTGAGATATTCTTTGAACCTTGAACCAAAACTATCTAAGATCACCTTTAAGTGAAATAACAGTGTGGCACACAAAATAAAGGCTATTACCCATAAGTATGGTGTTTTACTAAAAACTATCTATCTGAGACAAAAAGGTCAACATTTACTGTAAAGCAAAGATGAAAAAATAAGGAAGCAAGGAAACTAGAGTACTGGAAACAACAACCAAAACAGAGTGTTGACACATTGTGAAAAATATAATAATGTCACTGAACAATCTGTATCGAAATTGCCAAATGGAAACCTAATGTATTATGTAAACTTTCACCAAAAATGCAATAAAATATTTAAAAAAAAAATCGATGGAGTAGTTCTGTTGTATCGTGTGGGGTCTCTATGAGTTGGAATCAACTTGACAACACCCAGCACAACAATAAGGTTCATAAAGAGTGGAATTAAAAAATAAAAGAGTGGTGTGCCTTGAAAATAATTTTGAAAAGTCTATGCTATCCTTTTTCTCGAGCGGAACAGTGAGGTTTCTTAGGGCATCTTGGGTTTCTTAGGGTATCCAACTCTGATCAAGCACTATTTTGATGCCATGTTGTTCATGGAATCAGTTCTGTTATCCATTATCTATTATAGCTATTCAGTATTTCACAGATTTGCTTTCTTTTTTCTCTCCTAGTGAGGTTCTATGCAGCTTTATTTCCCATGTCAAAGAAAGTATGCACAGAGTAAGTACATCTTCATTTCAAAGAGTTAGAACATCATACTCTAGGAAATTTAATAATTATACTGTATTTACTTTAGTTCACGTAGAATAGCAAAGTTAACTACTCTTTTTTAAAACTCATTAAATGAGAATTCTCAAAGTTAATAAAATATGGTAACAGTCTGTGATTTCTTTCTTAATTTTTGGTGTCTTAGTTGCAGACATCTGTGGAAAAGTCTGAGGAACATCTCAGTTCAAGAAGTCAATCTATTTTGGAGTCTTTGGAGACTGTGGCCAAGACACGTGAGTGCCTCTTGCTTGAGGTTATCAGCAGAGGGCACTGGCGAGCAATGAACATGAACCTTCTGTGCCTAGTCAGGTTTCTGCCAGTGGTGAGGTTCCATATAGTGTATCAGATGAGAGAGGATGGGTACTAAGGTCAGCCCTGGAGTGAGTGGAGCATGCCAAGTTGGGTAGCAGGATCCACCTCTGTGTGAAAAGTCCGTAGCCCCACTTCTGTGAAGCACTCATTCTCAACCTAGTAACCCTGTTGCCTCCAAGCCAAATTTCACACCTCACTACCTGAGGTGCATCGAATGAATTGTTGACTGTGTTGTCTATAGAAACGCTGTCCCTTTTGTTGTTGTTGTTATGTGCCATGAGTCGGACCCAATTCATAGCAACCCCTCCTTGGGTTTCTGAGGCAGCATCACTACGAAAGTAGATTGCCCCATCTTCCTTACGAGGAGGGGCTGGTGGGTTTGAACTGCCAGGCTCCTGGTTAGCAGTCAAGTGCCTTAGGCACTACTGCTAGGAGCGGGGAAATACTTCAGTTGTCTACTGGTCTTGCTACCTTGTATTCAGTGAAAGCTGTTTTAGAGTGAATCTCAGCATCTTTCTCAATTTTAGTTACAGTTGTGGTTTGCCACAATTGTGCCCTTTGCTCTGCCAGTTAGTGATTTACATTTAGATGGAACTGTGTTCCTGGCTCTCACTAAACAAAAGAGAGCCATTACACAGCCTACCTTAGGTAAAAACCTCTCTAGAACCACCAGCTCAGCTAAATGGCAAGCTGACAACTACATCTGCACTTGTTTTTGAATTTGTCTCTATTTATTTTTTATTTTAAGCACATTGAAATCAACTTTTTCAAATTCCATGAAATAGATTGCTCATTATTTACAAAAATCAGTGCCTTTGTGTGGCTTAGAAATTAGTCTCCATCTGTCTGCAAAGAAGCTGGCTTCCAACCTGGGTATACCCTACACAGGGCAACTGAGTATCTGTTTGGAATCCAGTTCTGGAGTATAAGACTGTTACCCCTCAAAAGGTAGCAAGGTAAAGAGCAGAGGTAATTCAAGTCTGCTTCCTTTGCATAAAATGCTAGAAGAGCTCACTTGTTAGTGCCCCAGGAAAGTAGTGCTCTTTTTTTTTTTTTTTTTCTTTTTTACTTTCTACATTTAAAACTGGGTGAAGCACAAAATGGAGAATTGCCACAAAGGTGTAGCATTTAAGGCTCCTTGGTCAACACAAGGTCAAGGGAGAGAAACAGAGGACTAGAACTGAACCTGGTTCATTGTAGGCCCAGGGATTCTGATCTTTTGCCTTCAGTGGTTCCTGAATTTTCAGAGGCTAACACTCAGGAGAATGAGCTGCTCCAAGAGGGCAAACAGTAACAAATAAAGTAATATCATATTAATTAGAAGGGCAGGACATTCTTGAAAATAGGCACAGTTAGCTTGTTCAGAATCATTCCCTTCCTTGATAAGTAAGGACTAGGAACAGAAAGTCACCGAGAGAGGAAGCAGTCAAATCCTCTATCTTCTGGCCAGGCCCAGCTACCTACAGCACTGAACTCTACTCAGTGCATTCTGCAGGCTATCAGTCTGTGTTCATTGTGTTCATCAGCAGAAGAGGAGGTAAAGATGCTATGTAGAAAGGCTGCCTTGCATTATTATGTAATTGGAGCCTTCACAGAATAAGGGCATGAAATCTTCCCCCAGTCACACACTGCCTGCACAATCAGAAAGGTCACAGTAGCTATAGAATCTAACTCCTTCTGTTCTTCAGCTCAGGATATCAGTGACCAGAGTAATATGAGTTGCCACAGCCACTCACATTCACTTCACGTTGGGCTTTGGTAGGCCAATTATGTGGAGAGTAGTGCTTCCACCTGATAGGTATCAGGTATTATTTTCCTAATGATCATCTTTTTTTTTTTTTTTTTTTTCCCAATATAATTGATAGGTATGAGTTCTATTGAAAAAGATGATCATTAGGAAAATAAAATGGAAGCACCGCTATCAAATTCAAAAACTGTTTTCTTTTGGAAAATAGGTAATTCTTTAGATCAAAATAAATTCCATATGAACCAATATATTAGGTGTGTTGATTAAATCATGTAAGAATTAGAAGAAAACCTGGGCAACCTTCTTACAATTTTCAAGTAGGAAAAGCCTTTCTATGCAAGATACATGCAATTGTAAAGAAGACTGAGATCCCATGAGAACCACATTGGAGAGCAAGGACCTGTTCATTGTTAAATGAAAACAGCAAGGAACTGTTCACATGTATATAGTTTGCTTCAGGACATAACTTATGAGAGAGCAAGACTGGCCAGCAGAAACGGGGAAGAATGTCTCCCAAAAAAGGGGTGTTAAGGGTTTTCTTATACCCAGAAGCTCCCAGACCTTTCTTTAGACTTACTTATCAGCACATCAGGGACAGCAAGACTATCGGGTAAAAGGAAAATTACTGACCATGGGTGGAAAGCATTCCTTTCTAATTTGTACCAGAATTATCTGATCTTGTCTGAGTAAGCCCTTATCAAATTGCTAAAATAGGAACAAATTTGAAAAAAAAAAACCAACTTCTTCATAGGAAAAGAGGTATTGTCCAGAATATGGAAATGGATTTTAAATGGTTTATACAAAAGCCAAAAATACTCACTGTTTTATAGCCAAATCAAAATTTAAATGAGTACCCTTCTAAGAAATACACATACACTGTCAATCTAGACACGGGTATGCATACGTATTAATGTAAAATTCCAAATACTACTGATAATGATAAATCCAAGAAGTAGGACCAGGGTCTACATGGGAGAGTTTCAGTCATTTTTCACTATATGCCCATTTATACTGTTAATGATTTTGACTTATTTTCGTAAATAAAATTTTTCAAGAGAGGAAGAATAGATTGGAAGTAATGGACTCAAAATAAAAGTTCCTGTGAAGGAGAGGCACCAAATAGATGTCTCCCTAGAGACAAGGACAGAATGGATGGGATCGCAGACAGTTTTCTGGGTGCTGAATCCAGAACTGAACACTTTGCTTGCCTTCTTCATCTTCTGCTTTCATGGGAGGGGAAGAAGTCAGTAATGTCCACTGTTGCTAAGAAACACTACTATTTAGGAATCCTTCTAAGGAAAGATAATTACATTTGTTCTCTACTGCAAATATCTCCATGATGTCTGGAAAAATACGTGACCAACAAACATCTCTTTTGAGTTTAGAAGCAGGAATCTAGTACTGGAAATATAAATAAACAACCTCTTTCTAATAGATATATGGAATCTAACTTGTATTTGTTGAAAAGTAGGAGAAAATTTGCTTTCTAAAAAGTTCTTACTGTATTTTTCCAATTGTGGTAAAATATATATAAAATTTACCAATTAACTATTTTTGAGCATACCATTTGGTGGTGTTAAGTATATTTACGATGTCGTGTAACCATCATTATTATCTGTTTCCAGATCACTTTTATCATTCCAAACAGAAACTTTGTAGCCATTAAACAATAATTCCCCAGCCATGAGTTCCCCAGCATTTTTTTTTTTTTTTTTTAATTAGGATTTGGGTGAAGATTTACAGAGTAAATTCACTTTTCATACAGCAGTTCACATATACTTTGTCTCATGTCATTGACCAAAATTTA